CCTCCGCCGCCCAGCCCTGCGGGTCCGGGTCCGCCCCTGCTCTGCGGGCTGTGGGGAGGATTGCTCTGTGGGTGAGGGTCTCGGGCCCCTTCCTTCTGGGGGAAAACAGTTTATGTGATCTGCTGTGCCACATCGCACCTTTGCAGCAGGAGAGCAAGAGATGGACTCTGACTTGTTAATTTTTATGTAAAATTTGTGGTTCCTCTGGTTCTGTGGGCCGAGCTGGCTAGGGGAGGAACCGAGGTCTTTATCTCATTTTATGTGTCTAATTATCTCTCTGGATATGAGTTCAGGCTTCTGGGTTATGGGAGGTGAGTTGTACAGTACATGATGGATGTTTCAGTTTTATTTATCTTATCTTTTATGGCTAAGGTACATGCCAGAAAAATAAATAAAAGTTGTATATTCTGTATTTGCTGTGAGCAGTACTGTGCTTGGAGAGCAGGGACTGATACCCCAGCAGCAGTGAGAGTCAGTGTTCCTAGGCTTGTCTGCACAAGAAGGAGAGATGGGGTTAAACTGAAATTCAGGACCTTTGGTTCTTGACATTGAAAGAGATGAGGAGGAGGGAGAGATGGAGCAGAGTTAAGTGGGGGTTAAACGAGGGTGCTGCAAAGTTGGAGGTCTCGATGCTGATGTCCTGGAGGTGACTGTGAGCAGGCTGCATTGCATGCTTGCAGACTAGAAGACAAGGCACAAAGTGGGGTTAATGTTCGGCCCCTGTTTGTTGCCCATCTGTTACAGAGCTGCTATGAGAGCAGGTGGGGAAAGGCAGGACCTTCATCACCCTCAGGGTTGCTGGCTTCAGCCTAAGGGCGATATGTCATGATCTTGCTGCTTCTCAGTGGAGGGTGCCTGGCTGCTCGGTTTCCCCTCTGAAACATGGGGCTTAGGCCTGGGACCCGGCAGCCTGGATCTGCCTCCCTGCAGCCATCACTGCCGCACTGGGAGCACCTTGGCTGGGGCAGCCCCCTGGGCCAGGAACCTTGTGTGCTGGAAAGCAGAGCAGCAACCCACTGGATTGTCCAGGGCATGGCTTAAAACAGAGAAACAAACCCCACCTCTGCGTGAGCATGGATCTTGCTTCCCAGTCTGGCACTGATGCAGTTTTGCGACGTTCAGGTAAATACCGGCACACAAAGGAGTGTAGCTGTTTGATAGGGATGGACTGGCAGGTGAATTAGGCAACTGAGTGAATGCATCTGGGGAGAAGCAGCATGAGATGCAGAGCCTGGTGCAAACTTGGTGGCTGGTCCTCCCTGTAATGATGACTGGGCTGTCTCTCTGGGGTAACAGCGCTGGGATGGCTGGGATGGAGGGTTGTGGCATAGTCCTTGGGGCACTTGCACTGTCTGCATGTGAGCAGACCTGACGCAGGTTACGCAGTGCACAGGGCAAGGGGAGGCAAGGAACTCTGATGGGCTTGTGTACGTGTAGGTGAGTTCTAGATCCTCTAACCTTTTGCCTCCGAGGTGCGTAGGCAAGAGCAAGTAATTCACGGAGTGTGGGATGGTTGTGCAAGGTCAACAGGTTCAGGCTGTGGTAATGATGGGTGCAGGGGCAGGAGTGGGTGCCTCTGTGGGCACTGGTCATGGGCTTCTAGCTGGGTGCTGCCAGGCTGGGCACAGAAGGAACCCTGCCTGTTGCCAGGGGCAGGTGCTGCTTTTTGTGATTCTCAGACTTTGTCACCTCCAGCACCTCTAGTAGGGCTTCCCTGCTGCAGCGGGGAGAGGGGTGCTTGGAGACCCCGGTGCCAGGTACTTTCCCTTCTCCGATCCCTTCCTTCTCAGCTTTCTGATCAGAAGCTTCCCAAGGGAACATGCCAGGGTGCCCAAGGTGTATGTGAGGTGCAGGAATGTGTAGGATGGGGGTGATCTGCCTTGGCTCATACCTGGTGAAAGAGTTGTGTGATGGCAGGCAGGGAGGGGAGGAGGCAGGGCAGACACTTTCAAGGAAATGCAGCAATAGCATTTCCTAAACAGTTGTTTGCAAGGCAGGGAGCTAGTGTTGCTGTGGTGTAATCTGGATGTGCCTGGCAGGGATGCACCATAACTTCACTGGAGACAGCAAAGCATAAATAAGTTCACTCAAACTAGCTTCTTGCTGAAGACCGATGAGGAAGATTCTCATGTTATAAGCAGAGCTGCAGTCAGGGAGAATGAAAAGCAACCATGGTAACTGTTCGTTTTCTTCAGTGAATACCCTTTCCAGGAGATCAGAAGTGAACTGGACTGGGAAAAGTGGATGCATCTCAGCTGCTGGCAGCAGCATTGCTATCTCTGCTGTCTTGTCTCTTGCCCGAGTTCAGGCTGGGCTGGTGCAGAAGCTCCCTCACTGTCTGGCTTGCTCCCAAGCTGTGTGCTGTGGTCTCCTGACAGAGGAAGAAGAAGACTCCAGGGGCTGAAGCTACTCTTCCTCCATCTGGATGGTCCCAGCTCCATTTCTGCCCTCTGTGACATGGAAACAGGTTGCTTCTAACTTTGTGTGTACCTCTGGTGTCTGGGAATATAGTGGGTCTAGACTCAGGTGCTGACAAGTAGTAGTAAGCCTGCTTCTGGTTATTCACGATATGGGTCTGGCCAAGATCAGCCTGTGAGATTGTCTTTACAGCGTATGGATTGATGCACTGCAGAACCAAAGGGTTTCTGGACCAGAGCATGGTACCTCTGGTCCTAAGCTGGTAGCACAGCAGCCCTAAGAGGTGCATGAGGCAGAGCTACTGTGTGCAGTAGTGTGAGGTGGGAAATGCTCTCTTCTGGCCGCTTAAGTTTGGGCTGGTCTTTTGCCGTGGAGTCATCTCTGAAAGCAAAACCTACCTTTTAACTGCAATTACTGCTGGGGGATCTTGTCTGTTAGGAACTATGGTCTTCTCTACCAGCCTTGTGAGCTCTTTGCCCCAGCAATATCCTGCAGCAGGAAGTTTCCCAATTGGTTTCATCTTTCCTGTGAGCAGCTCCATGCTCCTCTCATCCTGCACTTCATCCCACCAGAGAGGTGACTGGTGCTAGTGCTTGACTGCGGAGGCAGGGAAGTTCCAAGTCTGGTGCTAGAGTTGGAACTGCCCTCACAGGTCACGCCATCTCCTTTCTCAGAGGTGTCTGTAGGTAGGATTAGACTTCCCCTCCTTCCTCCCTTCTGTTGTCTGAGCCTTTTTGCTCCTGGCCCTATTCTCATGTCCTAGGTCCAGCTTTTGTCAAATTGAACATGGTGTCAAATTAAAGCCATCACAGGGACAGTTGAAAGTGAGGCACCCAGTTTAATGAGGCAGTGTTGAAAATCAATAACTTAATTGCAGACATTTGATGGACTTTTATCCAATTTATAGTCCTCCTGCCCTGCTACGTGTAGAGCATGAGGACATGGTGCTGTGTCTGGCTCTGAGCAAGCGAAAGCCTTTCCTCTCAGAGTTGTCCCTTTGCAGGTCTGCCTGCTGCAGTGTAGATCGGGCCCAGGCTGGGAGGTCCCTCTGTGGGCTGGAGGTGACCGTTGCTCTGTGCTGGTAGGAAAGGGGCAGCCGTAACATCTCATCCCCAGCTCCTTCCCAGATGGTCCAGCAAAAGTCTGCTAGGAGAAAAGCTCCCAACTGTACAGAGCAGTGATCTCCTGGATCTGCTTAGGCAGCGGCCCCAAAGTGGCCCTTTGTGTGGTCCCTCCTGCCACTCTGCAGTACAAAAGGGGCACTCGCAGCACTGTCTGGAGTTCTGACTCTCAAGCTTTTGCTGAGAGGCAATTCTGCATTTGCACCCAACTGTTCTCATTTCCATCAGCCTCTGTGAGTAACCATTGTCGATCCCTGCTCTCCCGTTCTGCCAGCCCCTGGCTCAAAGGTTTCCGCTGCTCTTCTCACCTCCTCCCTGACTTTGTGTTTTCCTCTTGTCCCTACTGCAGGAACCTCTGTGATGCAGGTGATGGCATCTGATGCTGATGACCCCACGTATGGGAGCAGTGCCCGGGTGGTCTACAGCGTGCTGGAGGGCGAGCACCACTTCACTGTGGACAGTAAAACAGGTGAGCAGCACCCAGACCGTGGCCACGCATCCCGCAGCCACTCGGAGCAGCGCTGGGTGCCAGCAGGCCTGCCCCTCCATGCTGGCTCTTGATGCCGGGCTGCCCACGCCATGGGCCTTGCTGGGTGCCGGAGGGGAGGCTCGGCAGCACGCGGGCGGCTGCAGGGCAATGTGTGGTGCCTGCTGCGCACGGCACTGGGGAGCAGGACCCGCAGCCACCAGCCTGGACTGCCCTGCCAGCACCAGACAGAGCTCCTCCGAGCGCTCTGTGCCCAGAGCAGCAGAGCACCTGCAGGCACATAAAATCTCGGTGTGAAAGGTTTAAGTACTACCAGAGGGGCCTTACCGAAGGCTACATTGTTATCACCAGGGCTTTGATTAAAGGTAACACTTTAAATTAAGGATCGGTTTATAAATGTTCTATTAATATTTAATGAAAGAACAGTAGAAGCTGCTCCATTCCTTAATAACTTATAATAGAGTCTGTTGTAAAATGCCTCTGTAATAAATCCCTGGCAGATGATGCTCTGACATACTGGTTAGAGTAGACCATAACCAGGAGATGTTGGGGTATATATTCTCCTCACCTCCCAGGAGTATGACTCTCATTACCCTTAATGGGAGCCTTGCAAGCTTTCTAAGGAGGGAAGACAGTGAAATGCTAATAGGAGGTATTTAAGGCACAAAGCATGCAGTGAAGTACCCATGGTTTAATGAAAAATTGTCAAAGGACAAGCACATTGGGTAGCTGCAGGTCTTGTTGGAAAGCTGGACAGCAAAGCCCTCCCCCATCCTTTTGCTGAACCACAGTGACACAGGCTGAGATCAACCGAGGACTGAAGTGCCAAGTCTCTGTCAGGCTGACCTGTGTCTGTGCCAGCAGATATTTTCTAAGGCTGTTTTTATGCAAGTCGGAGTGAAATTTGTTTGGAGGCTCTGGCATAAGGAGAGTGTAAAGAAGGTACGTGTGCCTGAGTCTCTGCATCTGAGTGAAACCGTGCCCCCAGTTCAAACTGGTCTGGTGCACGTAGGCAAGCCAGCCACAGTCCTGTTGGAGCCACCAGCCCTGGCTGCCCTTAGAGGAAATCTCAAATTTGGTAGCTCCTAAGCACACCTGACAGCAGAGCTGGGGTATGCAGTGGAAAATGCCTTTGTCTGGACAGAGACTGGCAGTGGGGAGAGTGCACAAGAAGCAAGCTGGGCCTGTGCTCACTCCTGGCCCCCAGAGGCTGCTGCTCCTGGTCTTTCTGCTCTCACAGATTTACTTTCCTTTTTTTTGTGAGAGGACGGGAAGGTGGATGAACAATGGGCTAAACACTGAAAATTCAGGTGCATATGAGATCCTGTTAATCGCAGATGGCTTTGTGTGAGTGGAAGCCTGACTGCTGGAGTGAAGAGGGACCACTGGGAGCAAAAAGCACAAGCTAGGACGTGCAGAGGCTCAGCTTCCTGCAACAACATTAATGCTCTGTATTAAGGCATAAACTAAAATGTGCCCTGTGGGACTGTGGTGAGAATTAATGTCACTCTGGGAATCCAAGCTTCTTGATTCTTTGACTTTTTGTGTCTTAATTCTCAAGCTGGCTGTTTCATACACTGGAAGGGTTGATTTACTGTTCTACTTGCCTGTGATTCATAAAAGCAAAACTGCTGACAGTCTGCAGAGGAGTCCTCAGCCCCTCTTGAGCACGTCAGTTGCCAGAATATCTGATGCTAAAGCAGGTACTGGGGCTGACTCTTTGTTGATCTCTGAGCTGTGAATTGCCTCCTGCAGCTGCCTTGCCTGGGCTCCAGGAATGCGATGTGCAGCTCTGCCCGTTGGCCACTTAAGAGGCAGCTGCAGGCTGTGTGGGCTGCATGTCTGCCGTCGGCGCTAGCCCGCGTGCTGCAGGACTGGCCTGGCCGAGGGGGGATGATCGTGTCTCTAGTACTGGCCAGGAGCTAGCACGTCCACCCAAGCAAATCCCGTCCCACTCCCAGTCTGCACTTGAAAAGGTTTTCAGGGCTCCACATGGGAATCCCAGTCTGACTGCGCTGGGTGGCCCAGCTTCTGCCCTGAGCATAAGATTTAATTATCCATAGCAGCAGCATAACTCCTAGAGCCACCATTGTTATTAATGGCCATAAAAAGAACCATAAAACCCTGGCATGTTACATTTCTTATAATATATGATAATGAAGGACAATTTGTTTTCCCTTTTTGGTTTTGACCTCCTTTTCCACCTCTCCTTGCAGGTCCATACGTGCCCGTGCTCCTTTGCACGTCACCTAAGCCCATGACTCTTTCCAGCACGGATTCTCTCTCTCTTCCTTACTTTTACAATCAGCTCTTTTCATGCTGTCATTCACAGCACAGGTGGTGTCTGTACAAGTGTGGCTTGCACACTGCAGGACAGGCTGTAACCCATCTGTAGGATGCTTAGTTTTCTCCTGTTCTTGGGTGTTACTAGACGTAGTATTCAGCTGAGATTTTGGATTTGATGGGCCTTTCGAAGGCAGACTCAGAGTGCCTGGATGCAGTGCCAAATCCTACCACTCCATAAGCCCTGAATTCCTGTTGTGTCTCAGGTGCTTTTAGTTCTGGGTGAGAGCACCTCTGTGTGCCTACAGATCCGCTCTGACCCCGAGGCGAGGGCTGACTGCAGGGACCCAGCTTTGCCCAGCACACCACCACATGGAAAGTTTGGTGGTAGCTCCTCTTGTAGCGTCGGGAAGCCTGTCCTCACCAAGATCCTTCTAACTTATGCTTTTCAGATGCTGAGATGGGCACAGAGAGGATGTGATTTCCAGTGCATCTATGTGAGAGGAAAAATCAGTGTGCACTGAAATTTGCAAGCCAGATTTTCCTGTTTCTTTATATCACTCTGTACCTCTGTGGATTATTCACCTTTATAGGGGGAAAAATCTCTTCTTCTGCCTGCTTGTGTCTGTTCCCTTGTTCTTTGCAGTTCCCCTTCTCATCTTTGGTCAGCATGGCTGGAGACTTGCTGCTGCCTGCAGTCCCAGCTCCGCAGCCTCGGGAGGGAGGAAACCTGGAAATACTCGACCCCTCAGGAGTGGGGCACAACCTGGTGCCCTTGGCTCCAGAGTTATTCCCATCCTTTGGCAGGGATTTCCACTCCTACCAAACAGTTACTGCAGGTCACGTCCCAGGCCTCATAATATTTGGTGCTTTCCTTAAAAGCTCAGCTTGTCAGTCTGGGAGAGTCCATGGGAATCTTGCTTTTTACTGATTGGAAGAGGGTGTTCTTAAAATCTGTCATTCACTATATGCAGGGAAAAGGCAGGAGGACTCAGAAGACTAGCTGAAATGCAGTCTGGCATTTTTGGTTACTTAAAACACCTCCAGAGTTCTAGAGCCTGTCTCCTGATTTGGAGACTTAGCTGGTGAGGGCTTAGAGGTACTGTGCCAAGGAGAGCAGGACAGGAAATACTGTCCTGCTGGGATGAAGTTGATGGTTATTTGTGTGCGGTCATTAGTTATTTCGTCCTTACCTGTCAGTCTTGCCCTTTTTGGAGACTGACCACTATCCTAGTCCCAGGGTAGTAAGAGTAGACTGAGAGAGGAGTTGTTGCTGGGAACATGCTGCATGCTGGACTGGGCTGGTGAACTGTTGGATTTGTGTGGTGTGGTGGTGGTAGGCAGAACGTGTTCCTCTGATGCTCTTCTCAGTTTGTTAAAAATGCTCCTTGGTGCCTGGAAACACAAATACTGATACGTGCGTGTTTGTGTGCTCTTGTGGGATTATGCAGGTCTGTGCCTCATCCCAGGAGCTTACTCACCAGAGCTGTGCACAGGGACAAGGGACTCTGAGCACGGGTGATGAGAGTCTGCAGAGAAGCCACCCTTGTTAGGGTGATTGCTCTTATTAGCAAGACTGAATGTTAACAGTCCTTTTCAGAGACTGGTGCAGGATCTTCATCTGGTTTGGCACCATATTATGTGTTTGGTTGCTTTAAGGATGTTTAGATGTATCTACTAATGTGCAGTGAGAATTAATGTTAAATCATGAGGGATTTAGCTGCTGAAAGAAGGGAGAGAGGAAGGGTAAGTGTGCTGGCCCATCTGTCCGAGGTCACTGCAGGTGCCTTCCTTGAGGGCACTGTTGCCTCTGTGCTGGCACGGACAAGGCTGACTCTGAGCAGCGGCAGGAGCAGCGTCTCTGTGGGTGCTGCAGTTGGAGCTATGGGGCACACTGGTTTGACAAGGATGTGGCCACACACTGTGAAAGGTACCGCATTCGAATCTGCAGGCTGCAGCGTCCCTCAGCCACGACAGTTGTGTGATTCTGCAGCCTTCCAGTTAACTTCACTGGTTAGCTTGGTTATGCTGATGCAACCATAGTGTTTCCATTTTTGGATCTCAGCTCTGTATCTTATTTGTGAAGAGCTGTGAACCTCCTGAACCTCGTGCCTAGCACCTTGCTCAGACTGCCTGTAGTTTCTGCCTCCCAACTTGTCCCGAGCTGAAGGGGGCTGTGTATATAGGGCAGATGAAGTGCTGGTTCTTGGGACTGAGACCCCATCTGCAGAGGGGGGACCTCCTCCAGGACGTATGCCTCAAGCAGCATTTGTGTCTTGGTGGATATATTGGTATTTCTATGTCCCTGCGGGCAGGTGTGGGCATGGTGAGCATTCTGTGATCTATTTGGCAAGTGCCTTGCCCAGCCCTGGGCTGAGGCCGAGAGCTGTTTGCCTCAACTGACCAACCTGCCTGGAGGAGCTGTAGCTGGACTAGGGACCTCCTGAGGATATGTCCATGTGTGTTACCCCACAACTTTCTGGCTTTGCACTTAGTGCCAGGAGTGTGTTGCTCCTGACTGTCCTCAGCTGGAAGGTGCCTTGTAGAGAGGGTCTCTGAGGATGTGGACATCTGAGCTGGAAGTATCTGAGAGCAGAGCAACGCCCGTATTGATGGGATTCCTGGAAGGCAGTTACCTGCTGAGTGCTTTGTTCTGCTTTGCTTTTATGACCCAAAGAGTGTCTGCTGTTTGAGCAGATTTTGTGGTATTTATGTGATGCTGTAAGTGTCCCCTTGCCTGGTAATTATACTGATTAATCTGGATCATGCTGGAAAGCCACATGTGCCTTGTACCAGAGGGTATGCCACCATGTATCTGTATTATTCAACTATAACAGATGCTGACAAGAACTAGGGAGATGAGTCCGAGCTGGAGGTTGTTCTTGCTTTCTTAGCAGTGTCTGGGAAGGACAAAGTTTGGCGGTTTTTCTGGCTGGAAAGAAGGTGATTCTAGGGAGACGAAAGTAAGGACTTTTCCGTGTCCTACGTGCAGCAGCAGAGGCCCCTGCCTCTTCTGTCTCATCGCCCTGAGAGCAGGTCTGCCCCCATCACTTGCTGCTGCTTTTGCAGAGTCCCTAGGGGCCAGATTTTGGGAGCAGAGGCTATTCTGGCTCTGCAAGATGGGACCATGTAAGTTTGCTGCTGGTTGATGTTTAAGACAGCACTTATAGTGCCATATGCAAGGAACTGGTGTGGAGTCTGTCTGGAGACCCTGAGTTGTCAAGGCCAGTAGCAAAAGACAAAACCAGCCTGATGCTTGGGGCAGGAGCCTGGTGTGGCCCATGCAGCTTTAGGGCGAACAGCTTTCTCGGTGACAATCCCACTGGGGCCCTTGGAGGCATGGGGCAGTTGATTGGCATCAGGCCTCCCCCTTTTCCAGGGTGGACTGGACAAACAGCATCTCAGCAGGAGGTGGTTTCTGCTTGCAGTCTGCACCCCCAGCAAAGACGAGGGGTTTGTCTGCCTCGTGCCACTAAAAGAACTGGAGCTGGCTGGGGCCGTTTGCCCTGCTCTGCACATGCCAGATGGCCTGGACTTGCTCCCTGCTGGGATAAGTGACCTTGGAGATGTTCTGGGAAGCGCCTGAGCACTTTTCCTCCCATCTTGCATGGTGTATTATGGGCTATCTCATTACGAGCAGCTCAGTTAAGTCATTACAGCCTTGGTGAATGCATGAGTTTTTTGCCTCTCATCCCAATTCATCACTATTGTGCTGACATGAATCATTTTCATTATAAAATGCTTCAGACCCCGTTAATTAACAGAATTGCTTAAATTTCAATGAGATAGTGCTTGCCCAGAAATAACGGGTTTGTATTCGCAGTGGAGCAGCAGGAGAGGCCGTTGGGCTCGCCCGGCTGAGGCCAGCCCCGGCGGCCTGCTCCCCGCTGGGAGCGCGCGGTTCTCCCCGGGACCCCTGTCTCCCTGTCATTGCTCCGTGCCAGCACTCATCAGACCCGTTATGTGAGGTGGGATGCGACTTCTGGTCAAATGGCTTCCTCGGAACACACCCAGGGTGAAGGGGGGAGCTGGTGCAGACCCTGGGACTGGCTGCAGGGTAGCCACCGGCTGTGTTACTGCGGAGGGGTCGCGATGCTCT